ATGTTATTGTTGCTGTTGGGTGCCATCAAGTTGATTCCAATTCATAGCAACTCAATATGATAGAGTAGAACTGCTCCAGAGGGTTTACAAGAACAGATTGTTAGGTCTTTCTGTCATGAAGCCATACGTGGGTCTGAACTGCCAACCTTCCAGTTAGCAGCTGAGCACATAACTGCTGAGCCACCAGGATGTCTTATATATTATTATAAGCCCAAGCTACCTTAAATTATATATTGTGAATAATAATAAATAAATAAATTCATTTCTGTTTCTACCCAGTATTGTTGTTGTTGTTGTTTTTATGTGCCGTCGAGTCAGCCCTGACTCATAGCGACCCCTCCTTGGGTTTCCGAGGCAGTATCACTACAGAAGTAGGATTGCCCAACCTTCCTTCCGAGGAGTGGCTGGTGGGTTTGAACCGCCAGCCTTCTGGTTAGCAGGCAAGTGCCTTAGCCACTATGCTACCAGAGCTCCCCTACCTAGTATTAATGCATGCCAACTCCTTCACTAACAAGATTATGTTCATACTTTTACATACCCTGGACTTCCCTTTCTTTTCCTGATTATTCAAATTCTACCTGCCCTTTAAGGATCAATCTAAGACTCTACTTCTCAACAATGTCTTCACTACTACATTCACATCACTGACTTCTGAACATTTATATCAAATAGTCTGTGCCACACAGTTTAATACTTAAATACCCTATATTGTATACTGATTTCATACTGTTACCATTATTCTGACCAGATTTCTTTCTTGAGATAACTTCCTTTGTCCTAGACTTGTGTCAAGTATGCATTGAAAAAATACTCAAATACTTGATTGGTAAATAATACTGAAGAAAACACAAAGAATCACAATGGCTTTCTTTTCTATGTATACATGACAACCTAGCTGGGGAGAGGACATTTAAGAAAAAAAGATAAGACAATAAAATGAAAGTTATACATAATTCAGAGGAACACAAAACAACAAAGTTATCAGGATATTCTGAAGTTAGCTCAAATGAAAAAAGTTAAAATAAATTAAAAAAATGAGAAATCATTTTAAACAAATCACTAAGAGAATAGACCAACCACATACATGGGACAGTAAACGACCATTTATTTATGGGGCTTGCACTGCGATAGAGAATATTGATAATGGAGTGATGGAAAGAACAAGATTCATCTGTTATCTCCATACTTAGAAAAGTTTCAATCAATGACTGAATCATAGAATTTTAGAGTTAGAAGGGTCTGTAGAGGCTGTTATGGGATTTAGAGGGTTTAAATTATTTGACCATGTGTAATGAAATGATGCAAAAACAAGAGTAGAAATTAGATCTTCCAGCAAGTAAAGTTATTCATGAATAATAGAATATATGATTATAATTTTTGATGCACAGTAAAAAATAAGGAATACATGAATGCTTCATCTGCCATCTGCCACTTTTGGAAAATCTACATACCTAAAGCATGCACACACTCACACACCCAATCACACCACCACCAATAAATGACAATAATGTCTTGGTTACCATATGCCTTACCCAGCCAGACTATAGAAAAGCAGCTGATTAAAGGAGTACCTATTCTCATGAGACTAATGTGATACTGATTACACATGACAAGTTGTCATACTTGATAATAAGCCATGTGGAAAATCTAACCCAGAAAAAGTCTACTGCTGTCAGGATACAAAAAGCTATTTATTTAGTTAACCAATGACACAGACAGATTCAGTGATTTTCATTTAATCAAATCCCCCCACCTAGACTTTCAAAAGCATAGAGAGCTACTCAGTGGGGCCAATGCAGCACACATCCTGCACTACAAACCCACAGAAAAATATTTCAAAGATAAACAGACTTTAGCACACTAAATCCCACCTACCTCAGCTTAAAAGAAGAGTCAAGTGAGTCAGCAATCATTATGCTCAATCATCATGTCCCAGCCCTAAAAATCCATTCATAGTCTTTCAAAGTAAATGTGATTAACAAAATCTAGACCTTTGTATGGTCTAGCGTACCCAGATCAAAATACTCTTTAAACATATGGTTACTCAAACTGGGTATGCACTAAAATCACCAACAGAACTTACTACAAATCCAGATTCTCATGCCACAACCTTGTGTACCTGGTTCAGTAAATCTAGGTATAGCTCATGATCTCTGTTTTAATAACTATTTAGGCAATTAGCTCTGGAAAATGCTGCTCTTGACAACCCAAGTAACTACACAATATAGTGATACTGCTATGGCGACCCCTCCTTAGGTTTCTGAGGTGGTATCACTACAGAAGTAGATTGCCCAGCCTTCCTTCTGAGTGGCTAATGGGTTTGAACCGCCAGCCTTCTGGTTAGCAGTCAAATGCCTTAGGCACTATGCCACCAGAGCTCCTGTTTTGAAATAAACATATGAGGAACCCTGGTGGGACAGTGGTCAGTGCTTGGTTGCTAAACAAAAGGTCAGCAGCTCAATTCCACCAGCTGTTCCACAGGAGAAAAATACGGCAGTCTGCTTCTATGAAGATTTAAAGCCTTGGAAATACTGTGGGGCAGTTCTACTCTGTCCTATAGTGTCACTATGAGTTGGAATCAACTCACTGGCAATGGGTTTAGTATAATGAATATATGTACTACTTCATTCAATTATTCAATCAATAGCACAAATAAGTTTTCCCAAGTGATACTTTAGCAATAAGTTAGAAATCAGATTTTTAAAAAAGCAACTAAATTCCAAAAAATTCAATGGTGACAGTAGTGTTCAGGTTCTAGTGTCTCATGTTCAGATCAGGAAATATATTTGAGGGCTGACAAATTTGAGAGGGAAGAACACACAGAAATTCCTCATCTAACCAAAGTCTAAATCAAATACCTCCTGTTCCTGGTACAAAGTCTGAAAGAGAAATGAAACAGTACACATCTTCAAAAAGAATGAGCTGTGACTCACAGTTGGAAATGGGATTCAGACTTTTCATTTGAAGCTGTTACATAGGGATAGGATGGAGTTATAAAGAACTTTTCTTGAAAAGCTGATTTAAGACAGCAATACTCCCCAAAGTGATATACAGATTCAATGTAATCCCTGTCAAAATTCCATTGCCTTCTCCCCCCACCCCCGGAAGTGGACAAGCTGGTCCTAAAATTCATATGGAATAGCCAACACAATCTTGAAAAAGAACAAAGTTCTCAGAATACGTAATTCTGAACAGGACTGACTATATTCAGCATAAACTAGCACAGTGTGGAAGAATTAACTATGTACTCAGCACTGTCACAACACTCACTTAGGAAATAACGAAATGCAAGTAATGTGATAGAAATCTTGAACCATGAATAGGGTCACTTCCCTTACTTAGCCTCTTCCTTCTTCAAGTACGTACTGCTTCATATACTTGAAACCAAACTCTAACCATATTACACCAATAAGCTCTTATGGCAGGTTCTCTGCATGACAAAGGCATAAGTTCTACATCACATTTTAGATAATAGGAAAACAAAGAAGCAATAAGAAGATAGCAATACAACTAACCAGAAGGCTAGTGGTTCAAAGCTACCAGCCACTCCTTGGAAGGAAGGTTGGGCATTCTACTTCCGTAGTGATACTGCCTTGGAAACCCAAGGAGGGGTCACTATGAATCAGGTCCGACTTGATGGCACATAACAACAACAACAACAATCTCATCTTTTCCTTTAGAAAGTTAGCCTACACATTTGTATACAGATTTTCCACTCAGACCCTATGATGTTCAGATGAGAAAAAGTTCTATGTTCAAGTAAGAACAAAAGTTGATCAACACAGGCTTACACGATCATAAATCAGTCATCAAAGGATCATATTGTATGATCCCATTTGTGAAATATCTAGAAGAAGCAAATTACTTACAAAGATCAAAGTTAATCAGTGGTTACTAAGGGTGGGAGGGAAGAGAAAGAAGGAATCATTGTTCAGAGGTGCTGAACTTATGTTAAGGATGACAATTTTGGAAATGGATAGTGGTGATGGTCATACAACATGATGAATGTAATTAATGTCACTGAATTGTACATATAAACAATTGTTGAAATAAAAAAATAATCATGCAATTCTCATCCATGTCTTGTTACATGTGAAATCTCTAACAACAGATGAATTTCTTTTTATTTATATGTATATGTTGTTGTGGACAATGAATAAGGAAGACCGAAGAAGAGTTGATGCTTTTGAGTTGTGATGCTGACGGAGAATGCTGAAAGTACCATGGACTGCTAAAAGAACTAACAGATCTGTCCTAGAGGAAGTGCAGCCAGAATGCTCCTTGGAAGCAAGAATGGCCAGACTTCATCTCACCTATTTTGGTCATGTTGTAAGAAGGGACCATTCCCTGGAGAAGGATGTCATGCTTGGTAGGGTGGAGGGTCGACGAAAGAGGGGGAGGCCTTCAAGGAGATGGATTGATACGGTGGCTGCGATGATGGGCTTGAGTATAGCAGGGATTGTGGGGCTGGCGCGGGATCGGGCAGTGTTTCATTCTGCTGTGCATGGGGTCGCTATGAGTCGGAAACAACTCGACGGCACTTAACAACAACAACAATATGTTGTTGTTGTTATGTGTTGTCAAGTCGGACCCAACTCATAGCGACCCTTCTTTGGGTTTCCCAGGCCACATCACTACGGAAGTAGATTGCCCCATCTTCCTTCCGAGGAGTGGCTGGTGGGTTTGAACTGCCGGCCTTCTGGTTAGCAGTCAAGTGCCTTAGCCACTATGCTACCAGAGCTCCCATTTATATGTATGTAGTATATTTTTATCTGTACCAATGGCCATTTAAAGTATCAGGCTCTTAGAAAGCATTAAAAGTAGTTGCTTCTGGGTACTGGAATGGGAGAGTAGGTAAAGAGTTATTTTTTATAAAGCTATTAATATTACTTGGTTTTATAAACACATTTATAAATTATTTAGATACAAATTTAAAAATACTTTTATACATCAAGCCCTTATTATTGGTTAATATCACCACCATAAGCCAAAGATAATACCTTGGGGTGAGGAAAGATGTTGCTCCTGCAGCTTCTCGTGAGAGAGGAGTCCCAAGTAGCTGAGAACAACATACTTTGTTTCATAGTGAAATCCCAGAGGCACAGCAGTAGAGGACGCCATTGAGTTGGTTGGCAGAACTCCAAAGAGGTCTACTTACTGATGTGTAAAACCTAAAAACACGAAACACTTTTCAGTTTAAAGTTTATTATATATGAGTACATTTTCCCATAATTGACTCCAATTATTCAACGAGGTAACAAAACAGGTATTTCTCAGAAAAGCAATACTACTAACCAGAAGTCTGAGAAATACTTGTTTTGTTACCTAGTTGAATAACTGGAGACTTTGGCTAGATGAGGAATTTCTGTGTATTTCTCTGTGTTCTTCCCTCTCAAATTTGTCTGCCCTCAAATATATTTCCTGATCTGAACATGAGACACTAGAACCTTCTTCACAGTAATCATAAAAAAATATAAGAGTTTCATTCACTTACAAGTGGGAATTTATTCAGATCTCAGGTCAAAAGCAAATTTTCCTTCTCTTTTCTAAGGAGCCCTGGTGGCCCAAAGGTTAAGTGCTTTGGCTGCTAATAGAAAGGCTGGCAGTTTGAACCTACCCAGTGGCTCTGAAGAAGGAAGACTAGTGATCTGCTTCTATAAAAATTACATCCAAGAAAATTCAACGGGGATTTGGTACTCTATCACATGGGGTCACTATGAGTTGGGAATCTACTCAATGGTACCCAACAACTATCTCTTTCTAGTTTGTTTTCACCTATATGGGGAAAACACTAACTACTTTATGCCCCATCTCTACCCCAGCCCCCTGCAGTATATGTTCTCTTATCCCTTTTAGTATCAAAATCTCCTAAATTTTACCCAGGCCCATCCATAGCCAAACAGCTGCAGACTATATTTCCCAGAGGAAGCAGGCAAGTCTCTCTGGGGAAGGGAAAAAGGAAGTAGAAATCAGGAAAGGCTTTATAAAGTAAAACCCAAGCTGATGTTGGAACCTGAGGTTTCGCTACGTGAACTAGTTGAGTATAGGATAAGGATGACTGTTAGACATAAAGAAGATTAGAAACAGATACAGAAGCCTTTTGAAACACAAAAACTAAGGAGTTTGGATGTCTAGATTGTAACATATAAGGGGGCTGAGCAAGAGTAAAAGCAGTCAGCATCTGGAGTGTCTTGTACACTATGGCATGCTAGAAAGTTTGGGCTTTACCCTAAAGGCCAGGAGTTATTTTAACTATGTACATGAACAGGCATTTATGAACCCCCTAAAATTGTGTGCAAATTCTGTGTGCATGAGTCTTTTTCTGGAAAGTCACTCCATTTCTTTCATCAGATTCTCAAACCAGTCCATGATCCAAAACAGAATAAAATCTATTGTAGAATTCTATAAGGAAGTCACTGAAGGGTTTTAAACAAGGCAGGCACCATAAAAGATTAGAGAAAAATCACCGAGGAGGCAGTGCAGAAATACAATGGAGACTGGAAGCAAGAAGATGAGTTAGTGAAATATTGGAAAAATTTAAACGAGAAAAGTATGAGAACCTGAACTGAAGCAGAAATGCTGGAAAGAAGAAGGGGATGGACAGAAAAAAAATGTTAAGGAGGAAAATGGCAAAGATAATAACTAGCTCAATGAGAGAATAATCCAAATAGGTTCATGGAAAGCAATATTACTCCCATTTCTCAAACAAGAAAATACAGAAGAGGTAGTTTTGTGGAAGAGGAGAACAAGTTCACTTTGGGCCATACTGCAGAACCTATAGGCTGTCCAAGAAGTGCTGATGACACACTGGTTAAGCACTTAGCTGCTTATTGAAAGGCTGGAAATTCAAATTCACTAGCTGCTCAGGGGGAGAAAGATATGACAATCTGTTTCCATGAAGACTGAAGCCTTGGGAACCCTATAGGGTCACTGACTAGGAATTGACTCAACAGCACACAACACATGGACTGCCCAGGCAGGCAACTGTAAATACACTCTCCAGATGCAAATCAATCAATTTTTCTAAGGAGAATGGATGAAAAGCAGGGATTTTCAATGGGGTGGAAGTCTTAGAATTTCAGGAGAGGAAAATATAGTTTGAAAAAGCCTATTTAATATACCATCTCATACCTTGAAAAGGAAAAATTATCTACTGTTTTTAGATTATAAACTACAGGAAGTAAAAGTACAGTAAGTCTTCAATCTTATTTGTATATGATTCTCAGTGGAGGGACAGGACAGAAGAATAACTACTTCCCTCTTGCCAGAATAGGAGCCAGGGAAATTTTTATTTACCAAAACGGGATATGGGTTAAACAAATATGCTGAAAAATATTGGTGTAATTTGAAAAAGAAACATAATTAAAACTCAGAGCAACACTAACACTTACAGGTGGGCCAAAGATGAGAAAAGGAGACTTCTCAGTGTGGAGTGGAAGTCAGAGGTAGATAGAAAACAAGGAAACAGTGGAATCACAGAAGCCAGAGGGAGTGGACTAATGTGTCAAAGGTAACAGTACATTGAGAAGAATGAGTAAGGGTGATAGGTGAACAACAAAGAATGTTGCAATAGCAAATGCTATTTCATACACACAGTAAAAAGAATCAATTAGATTTGGGCATTAGGAAGTTATCTGTGATCTCTGACAGAACAGTTCTGGTTGACTGGCAGGGGCAAGGATGAGAATGCAAGGAGCTGAAGAATGAATGGGAAGTGAAGTAGAGAAGTAGGAAAAGTGAGTTTTAGTCTATTCTTTGAAAGATAGAGTTCACTTTGAAGGGAAGTTAAAAATGGAGGCCAAATAGACAAAAAGTTGTCAGAATTTAATTGTTTAGTTTTGTTTTTGTTTAAGCCTGTTTATACCCAGTGGAAAAGGAGCCAATAAAGAGTTATAAACCAATTATGGAGTAAAATACTAAAAGAAAGGAGGAAAACAGATGAAATCAGTAATAATTTAATCTTTAAAAAGTTATTTTATGGTAACAGAAATAAATATTTATATTTTGAATAATAGTTTAAAGAAAAAATTTATATTCGCTAATTTGTTGTATTTAAATTTCTTAGATTTATCAAGAATCTGTATTATTGAAGATATTTTACTCATTGCCCCACTGAGAAGTCAAAGACTTAGTTTCACCAATTTCACAAATTTGAATCTTAGCCTAACGCTTTTCAAATTTTCTTACAAATCCCAAATGACAAATTATAAACGCAATGGCCATAGATTTCATAACTTTCCATTTTCCATATTCACTACCTCATTTATAATAAAGTCCTTAGCCCTAGTAAATATGCTATATGTTAATACCCACATACCACATATTTGATAATATATAGTACGCACCATGTAACATTCATGTAACACCAATGCAAAAAACACACTGCTGTTGAGTCAGATCCAACTCATAGCGAGCCCTCCTTGGGTTTCCAAGGCAGTATCACTAGAAGTAGATTGCCCAACCTTCCTTGCAAGGAGCAGCTGGTGGGTTTAAATCGCCAGCCTTACCAGAGCTCCCAACAGTGTCTAACCACATATATGTCCATGGTCCAATAATAAAAACTCATTGCCACCAAGTCAATTCTGATTCATAGTGACCCTACAGGACAGAATAGATCTTCCCCACAGGGTTTCCTAGGTGGAAATCTTTACAGAAGCAGACTGCCCTATATTTCTCCATGGAGCATGTGGTGGCTTCAAACTGACGACCTTTCAGTTAGCAGCCAACTGCTTGAATCACTATGCCACCAGGGCTAATTAATAAACCAAAAACCAAAACCCACTGCCATCAAGTCGATTGTAACTCATAGTGACCCGACATGGTTTCCAAGGCTGTAAATCTTTACAGAAGCAGACTGCCATGTCTTACTCCCACAGAGTAGCTGGTGGGTTGGAACCACCAATCTTTTTGGTTAATAACCAAATGTCTTAACTGCAACACTAAAAGAGCTCCTTAAGGTTAGAGTAGAATTTACAAATCCCAACTGAAGAATGAGACATATTGAGTGCAACAGCTTCCTGCACATTGCACATGTATCTCATGTCTCTTATATACAAAGTGATTGCACGGCCAGGTGTATAAATGGTGTAGTACATATGTAACCTATAATACGCATGTCTTGATAATCATAATACGCACCTATGTTACTAGCTTATGTATGCTCTGCACTTTCTATCTAAAAAGTTTACTATATAACAGTGTATATGCTTCAACTCCTAAGTAGCACCATCCACTCTCATGTATCACACATCTCAAGTGTTTAGCACGGTTTCTATGTTAAATTTTCTTTTGAAAATATTACCATGAAGTGCATCATCCTCCCAAATGCAGTATAACCAGTGCTAGTGATAGCAGCAGCAAGAGGCAAAAAAGTATTGATTTGGAACTGAAACAAAAGGTTATTAAACACCACAAAGGAAAATCAGTGTATGCTATTGCTCACGACTTAGGTATATCACACTTGACAATCATGATGATCGTCAAAAACAAAGAAAAAATTATCCATGCTGTTAAAGTATTGCTCCACTGAAAGCTACAAATCTAATGAAAATACAAGAGGGACCTATATCAGGTATGGGGAAATTGCTAATGATGTGGACTGAGGACCAAGCACAGACGTGAATCCCTTTCAGCACACTAACAGTTACTGCTGAGGTTCAAAGCGTGTTTGATATGCTTAAAGAAAAAGTAGAACCAGACTACAATATATTTATACAATATCCAAATCATATAATGTCTTATCTCACAGAATATACTGTGGACATTAAGTGATTCATGACTGTATTCAAGGATTTCTCAATGATCCACATTAATGGAGAATGAACTAATGAAAAACTGTCATCACTTGAGCTTTAGAATACAGTTTTTAAACTTTAAATGTGTATTTAACATTCTAGTTACAAACATACCATACCTACAGTATAAGATATTCATCCAACAGCTAATTTAGCTTGAATTTACAGTATTACAACAAAGTACCTCATTCAGACCTCTGGTTAGGTAATAGGGTAGACAGATCCCAGGAACACTATTCTATTTCTAATGCATTTGTATTAAATTATAGGTCAAAGGTATTGAGAATATGCTAAATATACGATCCAAAGCACTACTATAGGGTTTTGTACTTAAAGGGCCTTCTGGAAAGAGAGAGTGTCCACTTACCTTGCAACAT